GTAGCAAAGTAATATAACAATATCATGCATGCATCTACGGAGCTCAATCTCGACATTATACACGCAGTATATATAGACTGATGTATAATAGTAGCCCTAACTAGGTTAAACGTGGCTTCCAAGTAGCTAGAAAACTGGTGGCTGCGCTAATAGCTAATTAGGCTTTGCTTTAGCTAGCAAAGCGAATGCTATATTGCTATCGGCAAGATGCGCAGTATACTTCAGGCAGGCTCAATCCAAGACAGGCTACTGCTATCAAGGTTCTTTTGTTCTGTGGCTGTAGTGCAGTACATGCATGGGCCATGGAGATCCAAGAGGCCAGTCCCAGAGCAGAGAGAGGAATTGAAATAAAGGGGAAGAAGAGTAGAAGAAGAAGGAGGCGTGATGTCATCCTGCGGGGCCCGCTCGGGCCCACAGGCCTTCATTCCCCTCGCCCACGCGCGACGGAAAGGAGGGCGACCCCGTTCCTTGGTCCCTTTTTTATACTCGCCACCTTCTCCCCCTCCTTTCTCCTTCATTCTGTTCTATCTATGCCTCTCCAGCACAAACCTCTCCTCCTCATGCTATTTATTCTCCCAAACATAAGCTAGCTAGCTTCCGAGAGATCAAGAACACATACGCACACTCTTCCTCTGACAAGAGCTTGTTCTGCAACTAACCAGTATAGATCGATCCTCTATCTAACAAGGTGAGTTTCATATGCAAGGCTTCGAATTCATTGTACTGGTTATGCACATGGCTTGGTCGATCAATCCGGTGAGGTGTATGTGTTGATCTGTTATTAGCTAGCTTGGCCGTGTTTCATTTTGATCTGATTCTATTTGATCCCTCTGCTTGAACTCATAACTGACAGACGAATGCCAAGACATGTATCTTCTCTCCCCCATATTTCCTCTTCACCACCTTCTTCGATCTTTAAGAGTCCAGGCATACAGACCCACCGTCAGAGCCTAATTAACTTATTACATCATGGCGCGGTGTTGTGTACCATATATGTGTATCGACCGATCAATGAAAGAAGAGTAGTAAGAGGAAAACCAATGCACTTTAGTAGAAGTAACTAAAGATATGCCTATATTTTCAGGCAACAGTTACTAAAAAAATCATATGGTTATAACATTAAATTCACTCATATGCATGCATGTATTTATCCAGAGATTTTTTGGAACTATAGTAGATTCCTATATCAATATTTTTCCTTCAGTACCTGCTACCAAAATAATAGGCAAAGATTAGGATTTTTATTGGCAAGTCAAATTTTACCTTTGGAAGAAACAATCAGAATGCATGTGTGAACGCTCTACTGATTGAGCCCATGTACAATCATATTTTCATCTCTCTTTCAGAAAATGCATGATGCATATTTTTCCTCGCCCTAAAAAAAGCTTTTATATATATCATGATCATACCGATTCATTTATATGCTTTATTTTACTTTTCACAAAAAGATAAATGGATGATTAGGTGCAATCGGCAATATTTACATTGCCGTATGCACCTAATTTGGTGGGGCAAGTTTTCAATCTTAACTCTTAAGGTGGTCAGTTATTACTTGAGGTAAGACTCTAGAGGTTCAGAATGATATATATTTTGCATACATGATCATCTTGAGCATAAACTAAAAAAGATATATACATGATATGTAGTCATATTTGAACACCTTCACGTTTCAAAATAAATGTGTGATTTCATTGCACGTGTGCTGTTTAATTTGGCGCAATAGGAGTATATATGTGCCTAAACACACAGCAGATACAAACCGAAAATATGTGATGCTAGTAGGAAAATATAAGCTATATGCAGCTCATTTTGGCATGGACTGGCTCTACAAGACATTCTACATTGCCAGGACCACCATCAACTAGATCTCTCTGCCACCCTGCTTCATGTAGACCCTTTTCCCTGAGCTGTGACTGTAATTTGTGAGCCCTACCCATCATTTTGGTAACAGAACTTTCGAGGATTCACCACCTACACGATTGGTTCCATCCATTCATCTGTATATAGTATTACCTTCACTCTGATTTGCCTTATATTTAAGACACATGGACAGAGTCACCTATCCAAAACTTTCACCACCACCTTATGTAATCAGTTCAAAATCAACAGAACTATTGTGCGAGATATGTAGGTGTACTTTACAGGTCTATAAATATCATTATTTATCATGTGAAAATGAACTGTATGCTAGCTAAAAGTTTTATGTGTGCAATTAACCTTAGAATTACCTGCCCCTTTGTCCAATGTATATATGTGTGTCATTGCCACATGGAGGGTTAATAATAGGTATTCTCCATCTCAAAATAACTACACACATCTCATTTTCAAGAAGAACTTTTGTTTAGAATTATAGAAAATATTATCATCATTTGTATCTGCTAATATATTTATTATGAAAATATACTCACTATTAATGTAATAATATTATTATGTATCATAAATATTAGTCTATTTTTTAATATTTAGTTAGACTTAAAAATTTGACTTTTCAAAAAGCGAGCTGTGCAACTTATTTTAGGACGGAGGGAGTAGGTACTTGGTAAGACCTTTGAGGAACACACATAGGACGAAGGTTTTACACTAGATTGTAGTAAGATCAATCTTTACAGGAGGATATATATATATATATATATATATATATATATATATGAAGTTATTTTCATTCAATTATGTTGCCTTCATGGACATGTCATCCTCTATCTTCTTTGCTCTAATAAACTTAACATTATAAGGAGTCTCATTAATCATTTGTGCTTGGATCATTTCACAATATTTCCCCATATCATTCTTCCTTTAAGTATAGGGTAGACACACAGTTTCTCCTCAAATTGACCTTTGTATACATATATCTCATATCCCACATTTGGAACAAGGATACTAACTAAAAGACATGGTAAATATAATAGAGGATCCTTTTTTCACTTATGATTTCCCTAGTGGGGCAGGAAATATGGAAGGAGATCCATCACTGATGACTGGATGGAAAGTTCTCTCTACTATCTCATGCAGTCATATGCATGCTGCAGCAAGGCAGCAAGCATGCACCCCACAAGAGGCCAAAGGGGAACATCAAAAATGATTTACTCCCCATGGCCTGGCCTGGACCTAGCTAGTAGCTATAGCTCATCTTCTCCATCTATCCTACAGGGGGGTTGCCATGCCTGCATGCCCCATGAGCCAGCCACACAAAATGCTCCTCCTCCTTCCACTCCCAGCAGGGTCAAGGCAAGGCGCAGCTCCTAGCTAGCTACTGGTAGTAGTACAGGTGCACAGCAAATATAGGCAGGGCCAGGGCGCGAACGCCGAACGAGGTGCTCTCTCCTCCTGCTGTGCCATTGTGCCAATGCCAGGGGATTCTTCGACAAAGAGACAGCGCGGTCAGAGGCAGTGCAGGAGAGTCTCGCGGCGGCGGCCCCCCGCTTCTGCTGCCGGCTGCCGCCTAGTACCTTTTCTGTCGCTCCCCTCTCTGGTGTCTGTCTGTCTCTCTCTCTCTCTCTCTCTCTCTCTCTGCATGCCTGCCTTGCCTTGCCTCCCGGCGTGTCCCGCCCGGTGTTGCCCGCGCGCTCGGGCGGCGGAGGAGAGGCCGCGCGGGGGCCAGTGCAGTGCTGTGTAACTTTGCAGGCCTGATCCAAGAAAAGGGCCGCCCTTCCTCACGTTTCTATTCGCCTTTTCGTCGCAGCCCCACCAGGGCGACCAGGCCTGTTATCCGTGGTGTTTTTTTAACTACTTATACTACTACGACCAAGGTTTTTAATTTTGGTATCGCTAAAATTTCAGCCACCATCGAAATTACCGAATTTCACGAAATTCGGCCGAAATTTCGCCGAAATTTTTTTAGAGATTAGCACATGAAGTATGTTTTTCCTAAATTTTTTTTGATCTAAACAAATATTAGTATGATTTATGACTACATATCTATTAAATAGAAGAATATGCAATATAAACACCAGGCCTTAGTTATATATCCATGTGTGTATTAAAAAATTGAGTTTTTTTTAACTACCACACGAAATTACGAATTTTGAGAATTCGGCCAAAATTTCGCCGAAATTTTGAACCCTGACTACGACTAGGACTCCCGGCCGGGCGGCGGCAAGCAAAGCATGCAAGCACCGTGTGCATGCGCTACCTCCGACTCCGATCCGGCCGGCAAAAACTAGCAAATGCCTGCCTTCAGCTTTTGTTATTTCTAATTCTCATTTTGTGCCACCATTATGGTCACCATGAGAAGGAGATGATTAGCAGCTCCTAACTAGCCTATATAAGTATTAGCATGTATTATACGCAGGCATTCATTCAGGAGAGCACTGCATCTGCACTACTGATGATCTCTAGAGGTATAGAGGGTAGTACGTACACTGACTGAAGAAATCACTTCCTCTCACTGCAAGTTGCACCAGAGAGGCAGAGAGGAGAGGAGAGGAGAGACCAGACCATGCATCCTGCGCTTGCACTGCCGCTATAATTCCCTGCGGACTATAGCCCACATGCCTCTGATTCCACAGTCGACACTATCATTCGCAGGCCTGTAGCTTTCCTACATAATTGTCCCTGCGCTTTGCCGTACCTTGTCCTATATCCTACAGAGACTAGAGTGCAGGCTACAGTGCAGACCCAACAGGCATGGCTTGGCTGGATTACATTTTTCTAAAGCGTTGAAACCCATACACACTACACTGCGTCTTCAGTCTAGTCTGTCTCTCTCAGTCTCTCTACACTACTGCATGCTACTCATTCAGTGTAGTATACTAGTATATCCTCTTCACTCCTGCGAGCACTCGCTGTTGGGTGTTGCCCTGGCCGGCGCTTCCACTATAAAAATTAATTCAGCAGGCTTGCATCGAATGATGTGAACACTTGCCGTTTTCTTTCTTTTAGTAGTGCAGCCACTCGCGAGCTATATCATTTAGGGGCTGAGCCTGAGGAGCGGCAGGCGTCGTCGCTGAATCTGATGCACATACTACTACGCAGGTGCAGGCGCAGGTGGTTGAGGTGATCATATGGACTCCATGGAATCATGCGTGCCCCCGGGGTTCAGGTTCCACCCCACCGACGAGGAGCTCGTCGGCTACTACCTCAGGAAGAAGGTGGCCTCCCAGAAGATTGACCTCGACGTCATACGCGACATCGATCTCTACCGCATCGAGCCATGGGATCTCCAAGGTATGTATGTATACCGGCTAATTTCGATCAGTTCAAGTACATATATGTGCTTGCAGTTAGCAAGCTCTAATGTATATAACTCCCTGTTCTGCTGCTTGAACTGACGATGATCTTAAATTTCCTGGCTGCAAATCAAATAAACTGAAGAACATTGCGGGATTGGGTACGAGGAGCAGAACGAGTGGTACTTCTTCAGCTACAAGGACCGGAAGTACCCGACGGGGACGCGGACCAACAGGGCCACCATGGCCGGGTTCTGGAAGGCGACGGGCAGGGACAAGGCGGTGAACGACAAAAGCCGCCTCATCGGCATGAGGAAGACGCTCGTCTTCTACAAGGGAAGGGCTCCCAACGGGCAGAAGACCGATTGGATCATGCACGAGTACCGGCTCGAGACCGACGAGAATGCGCCACCACAGGCAAGCTCCCTCACCATGATCTTAGGCTCTGTTCGGCTGATACATAAGCTGGCTAAAGTTGTTTTGTTGTAAGAAAAAATACTGTAGCTGATAAGCCGGCTGATAAGTTCAAGCGAATAGGGCCTTAGTGATCTCTACCTTAAATTACCCATGTAGTATTACTCAACTTAGATGCACTAAGCATACTCTTCTGTTTAAATTCTATTCTACTACCTCCGTCCAAAAAATATGATGTTTTAAGATTTTTATGACATATTAGTGTTGAACCGAAATTACCCATGTAAAGTGAAACATGCCAATTAAGAAAAGAAAAAGTCCCTCATAGTTGATACAGTACTAGTGAAGAGTACTTGGCTACTTGCCATAGTTGAGAGTACACTAAACTTGACTGGTCCATAATTTATTTGCTACCACTCCATATGAAGTTAACTATATCATATCTTGGTTTACCTTATATATATATATACCCCATCTTGAGTTCTCAGCCTTCAGGTTAATATATACTCCTATATGATAAGCTTAATGTCTCAGTTTCAGAGACCAAGAGATCGGTCTCTTTAAAGTAGTGCGCACAAATCTGCCAAGTCCAAGATGCGTGTCATGCTCATGCGCCAGTAATAGTACTGATGGACCCTAACACCTATAGCAAATAAAGCAGCACACAAGCACAGTTGCTAATTGCTTTCTAGCTCTCAGAAGATAAGTTTCCTTTTTGTGAGTCTTTGACCCTTGAAACTTCCAAAGACTTCAATTCTTCTGAATAAAGTTAGGCAGCATATGCAGGCCTCATCCCGGCCTCACCACTCACAAAAACATTTCCTATATAGATGCATGCATGCGCATCCGCATGCAGCATGTCCTACTTAGGGTTTCCCCAGTGTGAACATTCTTGCACGCGCCATTGTTTACGAGCTGTATGCAACTATCTACTACTGGAGTACTGCTAGTACTCATCAAACTCATGGTAATGCTTCGGCACTCCACTATCGCACACAGTGGATGGAGATAGGCGATAATAAAGGCAAACTTTCTGATTAACCTTTTCTAATTCCTTTCACCACATACTATTGCAAATCTCGCTCCACGCCAGATTAACAAATTTAATTTCCGCGTGCTGCAGGAAGAAGGCTGGGTGGTGTGCCGGGCGTTCAAGAAGAGAACAGCGTACCCAGCAAGGAGCACGGCGATGGCATGGGACCCCAGCTACGCCTACCGCGAGGTCAGCGCCATGGGCGCGGCGGCGGCGGCGGAGGCGGCGGCGTTCGTGGACCCCAATAACGCGGCGTACGCGCAGATCAGGCGCCAGTCCAACAGGAGCGCGCGCTTCAAACAGGAGGCCGAGATGGACGGCGCTGCCGCCGCGTTGCTGCAGTACTCCTCCAGCCACCTAGTCGAGCTGCCGCAGCTCGAGAGCCCTTCGGCGCCGCTCGCGCCGGCCAACCAGAGCCAGGCGTCAGCCGCTGATGAGGTGGTGGACGGCGCCGACAGCGGTAGGCGGCCGGGCAAGAAGGCGCGGGCCGATAAGGTGGCCACGGACTGGAGGGCGCTCGACAAGTTCGTCGCGTCACAGCTCAGCCCCGCGGTGGAGTGCGGCGGCAGCTTGGAGGCGGCCGCAGCAGCAGCGTCGACGGCCGCCGCCAGCAACGTGGGCTCACAGCTGGACCACGTTGAGGATGATGACATGGCGGCATTACTGTTCCTCAACAGCGACGGGAGGGAGGAAGTGGAGAGGTGGACGGGGCTGCTCGGCCCCGCCGGCGGGGACGGCGACTTTGGACTGTGTGTGTTCGAGAAATGAGCGGCGGACGGCCGGCGCGCCGCGCGCGTGCACGGTGTGGTGCGGGTGCATGCATGCATACATTCGATGGGATGGTGCATGTGATATATTATGATTATAGCTGAAAGTTGGTTTCTCTCTTTCTTTTACCCCTTCTCTACTTCCCTATGTATGTTTGCCATAAAAAATGTGATTGTAATTTTCATCTGTCTCTGTGCAGAGTCATAAGATGCATGCCATTCCGGGCTTCCGGCAGATGTGATTTCTTTTCGTTGATGTGGCCTAACATATGCATGCATATCACACTTCTGACTTGGTTTGTCAAATGGCTTTCATCGTCACCAGGTGGCACAGAGAGACATAATAGCTTATCGTTCACAACAGGAATACGTTAGCAGGAAAAATACTTAAAGAGTTCCCGTATGCATTCTGAATGCCGTCTAACAGAAACAGTAATAAGAAGCCAAGGGAATAGTAATAGGGGTGACATTGTCTTGGAGCGAAATGCATGCGCTTGGATCCTTAAGGGGCTGCTTGGTTCTCTAGCCAAGCATTATTGTGCCTTGCCAAGCCAGGACATTGTTTGTTCTCTTGCCTGGCCATCTTGGACGAGGAGGAAGTGAAAGGTGTGTTTGGTTCTCTTGCACTGGCCATCATTAAATATGATTAATTATAAAACCAAACTGGAGGCGAGATGATTTTTTAAGCTTTAGCATGCTGTAGCACCCGTTGGAATCATTGACTAATTAGGTTTAAAAGATTTGTCTTCAAATTAGCCTGAACGTGCGATGTGACTTCTCAGGGCCTAGCATGCTCCCGTGGGAGAGCCATTTTGGCTCGCCTGAACGTGCGAGCTTCTCGTAACCTGTGCCACCGCAGCAAGGCGAGGCGAGGACAGGCTCCACCGAGAACCAAGCAGCCCCTAAGTTTTCCATTTTCTGATTTTCACTTAGGGTCCGGTTCGGATCCTTTCATTTTGGAGAAATTAGAATCTACTTAATAAACTAGGCTATTTGACTTAGAATTTGATATTTCATAACTTTTCAGAGTTCACATATAAACCCATATCAAATTTATAGGGTGAGAGATGTAAATTGATTCTATATATCACTATGGTATGTTTATACTTTGTAACTTATAACACACTCTTCAATTTACTCCCCTACGGTACAAATGCAACACATAATTATCTCTCTCGTATGACCTACAATAATATACAAATATATTCCACATACAACCATATTAGCCTAATTAATCTGTGTCTAAATTATGATTATTAAAATAAATTCAATTCCAAGGATTCAAACACGGCCTTAGATCTTTTCACCTAAGAAGTGAGGAACATACTTCTAGATATGTTTCAAGTCTATATATGTCTAGCTATGAATCACTTAGAAAGTTTAATAAGGATTTGGATCCTCACTTTATTGAGCATTTATGAACCGAGTTATTAATCTAGAAAAAGTTTAAGGCTTGTTTGGTAGAGCTTCGCTCCCTAATTCTTAGCTCTAGCTTAGTAATTCTCTATGGGCTGATTTTGGTGCAGGAACATGGTATATAGAGCACGCACAACACACATAGTTTATATTGTATTGCTTGTGCACCGTATATTCTCTATGGGCTGATTTTGGTAAAGGAACATGGTATGGAGAGCGCGCACAACACACATAGTTTATATTGTATTGCTTGTGCACCGTATATGTCAAAGAGTATTTGAGAGAATAACGATTAGAGTGGTTACATTACTACTCCCTCCATTCCAACTTATTCCTTGTTCTTGCTATTTTAGGTACATAGCTTTTGTTACACACCTAGATGTACATTATGTATGATTATTTCTAGATACATAGCAAACATTATGGGCCTGTTTGGCATAGTTTCATCACCAGCTTCATGAATCATGAGTTGTTTGAACCTTTTTTTGCCAAACAGGACCTTTGCAAACAGCTTCACCAATGAAGCTCCTTAAATCATGCTCTCACATAGGAGTGGGATGAGATGAAGCTAAAATAATAGCTTTCATATGTCCACCTCACACTTGTGGGCCCTATGTGGAATTCTATGAGAGCGTGTTTTAAGGATATCTACATGCAGAGCTGTTATGCCAAACGGTTCACCAAAATAGCTTTAACTTTACTAGTAGAGCTGCTTGTAGAGATAAAACAAAAAACTGATTCACTGGTGAAGTTGAGCTGTACCAAACAAGGCCTATATATCTAAAAAAGTAAGAAGACTTACAATTTGAAATGAAGTACATGTCGTCAGTCTCAAAAGCCATCTCATGCAATGCAGCATATGATTTTTTATGACATGGAGAGGAGGGAGAGGGAGGTGAGAGAACGAGGTGGTTGTTTCATGAAACAACCACCCCATGAGCAAAAAACCTAGAACTATGACACAACTATTTCACCGTTATATGATTTAATGTTGCCATGCAACTCACAAAACTTATCTTTGTTGATCGCATAAATTAAGGATAATTAAATTACTATAAGGTATCTTAAAAGAGCTGGTTGTTCAATAGTCTCATGGTTGTGTGGTATTGCATAAGATCATCAACGCAACAACACCAATATCCTTGTTTAGGGGCTCCCTAGCACGCCTTATATAGTGTAGGGTTACAGATAAGTCCTAACCTGATTGGTTACATATTGGTTTTCTAGTCAATTATTACTAAATCCTGGTAGATCGGGGTAGATGCATATATGCATTTTATACCAAATTGATGAAGGTCTCTCTCCAAATTTATGAAGGTCCCCGGCCCAACCAGGCTAGATAGACGTTGGACTCAGTAGTTGGCACAACCCATCCTTACGTCCATATGATCAATTTTGTCCTCTATGACGATATCCGCGGACCACATAATCACCATAGGTGGGAAGTGAATATGGAGTGATTCTGATAGAAATTGGATGGAGAGCGATGGGAGTATATTATCGAAATCTAATTGTACTTCACTCATTTGGCTATATGTATAAGTGATTCTCATGAAGAATCCACGGCTACGAGTGCTCCCACACTGATCTTTAGAAGAAGCTTGTTTGTTTAACTCATATCCAAATAATTTTTGTTTTGTTTGCTCACAACATCTTCCATGGTTCAGCACCACAGGAGACGACACACCTTCTCCAATGACATAGGGCCTATGTTGTACCCCTCGGTACCACTTTGGACCATTTTGTCATCTTCTTTCTCTTTTGTCTGGAGGGTTCTTCGGTTTGGTGGGGTGGCAAGGCTCCCTCAGATCATTGTCAATAGAGACCTAGCGACTCTAGCTTGTCTGCCCCTTGCTCGGGGCTCTCTCCTGCTCCCGAAGATTGAGGAGCTAGAGGTGATCCCCACATCCAACCATGCTCCTATGTTCCTGCCTTGGAGGACCTTATAGCTGAGGAGGGACATGAGGTCAATGTGTGTCGTTGTTGTACGCAGTGCAAGTGTGCAACGGTCAGCGCCTCCAACCTGCGTAGTCATTGTTTGGTGACCAAGGAGACCTCTTTCTATGAGGATGCTACATCAAAGGCATCTAGGGTCAAGCAGCCAAGCCTAACCTCTGTAAGGCTTTGGTGGGGCTGGTCAAAGCCCTAGAGAATGTTATTGTCCTTGAGCGTCATCTATGTGCTCATTTTTGTCCTCTCTGCTCCCTCGTCTTGCCTAGGTGTGCGGGATCAAGCTCCTAGTTAGTTGGTAGGCATGAGCACCTTTTTGTTGTGTGATGTGCTGGCCTCTAACAATCTCCTAGCTACAAGTTATGTTCTATATTAGATACTACAACTATGCTACCCAAGTGTGTTTGTTTTCTCCCTTTCTCATGGTGGAGTTTGGGTTTAGAGGTGGCCCTTGTAATGTTGTGGTTTGTTCTGTGAATCAATGATTCCCTTGGCTTTATGAATAAATCATGTCTGCAATAGACCCCTTCAAAAGGCATAACTTTCTCTCTTTTGTCTATCTAGAGGTGCTGGATCAGAGGTGTTGCTTTTTCTCTTAGGGGCATGTGCCCCCATCCCCTACAAACCCGAGTCTGGCACTACTATCTCCACCTTGACCACACGTAAACCATACTCGTCCTCCTCTCACCCACAGTACTATGGTTGTGACTTGGAGCCAAAGTACTTTAGAACATCCCAAAGAAGGTCTAGGAAAACCACAGCTGCACAACGTGTTGTGGTAGGTGCACTGACTCCTCCAAGCGGCTCCCATGCATTGTGATCTAAAATGCATATGACATGATGCATGTGCACCCTATTCTCCCTTACTAAAATAAAATTATTACCACTACTATAGATTGATATTTTACTATCGCCACTTTCACTGTTGTAACAATAGAAGCGACGGTGTTATACATCCACCGCCGGTTGAACTGATAGCGAGGCCTCCTGAGGAAGGAAACCGGCTATTGAAACTTCTACCACCGATGGGTTAATAATAGATGCAGCAGTGGTATTTTCTCAATCGTATGAAAAGCCGAGCCGACTAGGATACATGTTATGGTCGCCGGCCCTCCACGACTATTTGGTCTATCGACGGTGAAGTCAGCGTGAGTTATTTCCCAACTACGCCCATAACACAGTTGCATCACCATTACTTGCACTTTTCCATCTTCAAGGTTGGCCTATTTAACTAGGGTCTGTATGCACCTCTTGGGCTCAATCCACACACTCTTGAATCCACACACTCATGAGCTACTATATCTTTCCTCATCGCCAAGAAGTGCTTTGTCTTCATCCTTGCACCTCTCATGGCCTCTTTTCCACTCCTAGGATCTCAAAGCCTGCTAGTAGATAGCGGGAGAAAATCTTTGTGAGTACATCCATCGCTTTTCCATGCAGTGCAATGAGCTTCACGACATCGTGGATGCGGACGTGATTGGAGCATTCATCTCTAGCACGACCAATGAAGCACTCATCCACGAGCTCGGACGAAGCAAACCACGGACGAGGCTAAGGACCACAATCGATGAGGGAAAGGCAAGAAGGACAACTAGTGGTGCCGCGACAGTGAGTTTGTCGTGGCAGTCAACAGGG